CTCTATATTCAAGCATTTCGTCTTTATCGTAAATATGAATATATGGTATTTCACGGTTAGTCATCGGAACAGTTCACTGTCTGGCTTTTCCGTACTGATCTCACGCACGCATGTTCCGACTCTTTTATTCTTCCTCTCGCACATTCTCTCTCTTTCTCTCTCTTTTCTCACTTCTCTCTCTCTCTTTTCTCTCTCTCTCTCTCTCTCTCTCTCTGTGACTACATTTCTATCATTCTACGCAGGTATTCCCCGGAGACATTCAGTCGCGTTCATTCAAGCTTTGGGTGGCCACGCACCCTTCGTTTACACAATATTCTCAAATATTTAGTTCCAAACACTTCTTTCGCACCTGAATCGCGTTAATTCAAGTATTTTCTGCTCACGTAACTCCTGTTCCAGAATAAACAATCCTACGAAATTCTATCACTCCTACAATAGTAATCCGGTAGTAACAAGTGGTCGGAGATCTGTGGTCAGAGTATTTTTTCACGGCAAGTCATGGTCGAGGATATAGAAAATCCATTTTACAACATCTTCGAAAACATATGCTTCTGACAGAAACAAAACATATATTGAACAGATTGTTAAAACGTGAAACAGTGACCATGCAAATGTGTTATTAAGCAGGAAAGAGCAATAAGTAGAATATGCGCCCGTCGGTTATAATATTTGTTCGGATATTTGTTCGTTAAGATAAACTTTTCTCAATACATACTGCTTCGTTTCGTTTTCGCAGAATTTGTTAGCTACTAATAGATAGAGAAAAGAAAAATAATGAATTAAATAAACGAGTTAACCTAAAGCGAATATGCTTCCGTTAGACGCGAAAAGGTCGGATTAATGGACACTTGTTTCGACGATTAATGGAATAAAGAGTACCGCTAGATTTAACTCACAATCAGACTAACTAGCAATTCCAAGTGGAAATTGGCATTCATCTTGAGAAATCGCTCGGGTGATATTTCAATTAACAGGAATTGCAGTAATTTTTCTCAATGTTAATATTCATTGACAATGAGTGACATAACTTAACTAACTTGTTCTTGACTTTGAGCATTACGCCGTTTATATACATCTGTTATATAATTTGAACGATTAGTTTGCTAACGCTATAGAACAATAAACTTGCGTGTAACTATTCTTAAAAGTTTCAGCTGAAACTAATAGAAGTTTTCAAGGTTCTCTTTAGAAATAAATATTCGCCAGGACGTAGTAATTAAAATTACAAATTGATAAAATTATTGCTTGAGCAATTGCAAGAAATAATTAATATTAATTGTAACGAAGAACTACTTAAAACAACTGCTTGCTTTCTACAAATATAAAGAAAATTTCGAGATACTTTAAAAGTAATTTATTACTGTATATTAATTAATAAATACAATTAGTAAATGTTGCTGTTTACAACACTTTAAAATATTAACGAGAGGTTTCATTCGAAAATCTAAACACGTAGTGAATTGCACAAAGATATTAATAATAATGATTGAGTGCCGCTTTTGGAGTTGTTATATATAACTCCATGATGAATACAAATTGCATTCTCTAAAAAACCATATCATTCCATTTAAAAAAGCAGGGTTGATCTTCATATCTCCTCTACGCTTCCACCTGCAAAAAAATTTATTCACATTAGATTATGTGCCTCTGGAAACCAAGCAAGTTTGATCTGATGCATTTTTTTCTATTATCAAAAGCAAGCGAGTTATTCAGGTGACCTATTTTAAATGCCTGTATGTAGTGTTTTAAAATATGACGTGGAAGGGACTGGAGAGGGTTTGAGATGGAAAGAACTAGGAGAGTGGCAAAGATCCTGGATGATTAATTGTAAGAACTATGTATTTGGAAATTTCTCATTCAAAAATTACCTAACTGATATGTAATACATAGGTACTCTTATTTACAATCAGATGACGAACTGAAATGACTCATTAAGAGTTACTGCTAAGGCGTATCCTGTAGCCGGATTTATGGCAGCGAGTCAAGTGGTCGCCGTCGCAGGCAAATATCGTTTTCTCAAAACACCACAAGTGTTTATTGCGTTGCCTGCGACACATAGTCCCTAGGACCAGACCCTGCCATAAATCCTGGAGTCTCCGAACGGAAAATAGAAAAGGGGCCCACGACTTTTGCCAACGTCGATGGGCCACTTGACTTTAACAAAGCCTCGAAAAGCGGAGATTCCGCAGGATTCCCACGCATCCGTCCACCGAACACTTTCTCCGGTCGTTGTTTACCCCACCCTAAGATGGAGGGAGGTTGCGACGCACCGGAGTAAACTGATTGGTGATCTAGAAAAGGAGAAATCACCAATCGGGGTGTTTTTGGGAAAATAGGAGTCTTCGTCGAGGGAAACCGCAGAGACTCCAGCAGAAACACTTGGCCACTCGCAGGAGAAACACTTGGCCACTCGCAAGAGAAACACCTCTCACTTCGCTTAGTGTTAAAAATTGGCAACGCTTGAACGATCGAAAGATCAACCGCAAGCCCTAACAATACTATAGTAGGTACAATACTGAGTGATTTGAAACGATCCTTTCCTGTACATTCCCGAAGGACTAAAAGTAATTTTCATAGATGAAATCAAGTGCGTGCATAAATTAAAGAAGTTTGTTAGGATAAACATTGTTAGGACAGCAAGGGGACGATTTTATGATACGTGATTTCTAGTTCAGCAGACCGGTCTGCAGCCAACATGCGGCACCTAGAATTTCTCAAATATTAAAGAATAGGCTGTTGTTCAGTCAGTAAGGCAAGGTATCATAAAGTCACCCCCAAAGGGTCTTCGACACTGATGCAATTACCGAGGCCTCTCGGTACCTGACCTTCCGAACGAGTCGGAGAGTCAGAGATGACCTGGGTTTTGTTGGCCAAATTTCCATCCAGCAAGGACCAGCTTCGTCACCCCCGCTCCAAGGACGTGACCCAATGGAAGGGGGTGATACGGGGTTGGTCACTTAGTAATTTTAAGAACCTCCCTTCGCGTCCCTTCTTCAAATTTTAGAAGATTTGGAGAAGGGACGACTCGATAAGAAGGCCGACTTAGCTTAAGACCACAGAGTGTTAGTACACAGACCATCAGTTACATTAGGAGTATTAAAGATTCATTCAGACTCTCAACGCAATACATTCAATCTTCAGACGGCACTTAGTGCCATATTCGAAGTACGCGGAAATTAGTACCCGAGTGCTTAACAAACATAAAACAATGTAGCAATACAAAATGTGTCGATGAGCTTTCAAATCCACGTTCAGCGAACCAGTAAAATCTGGAAAAATGAAACTAAGGCATTGCCAAGCAGTAATCAATAATGAACGAGATAAGACTAATTACTAAATAAGTGTACAATAGATTTCTATATGTCTTTTTGATCTACAGCATTTTTTACCATAAACAAATTTTTGTGAAAATATTTAGCTACCATTAGGTACTATCAGGATAGTAACAGAAGAAGTAAATAGACATAGTAAATTATATTTACGGTCTTTGAAATCATTTAACGAAGAAAGTCTATAGCTAACCGTCGTTCGACGAAGTTAGGTTATCTGTGACCCGTATTATTTGTGTGTGCAAAAGGTCCATGAGATATACAGGGCGGGGCAAAAACTTTATCCACCTAGAATATTTCAAATGTATAGAGAAACAAATTTTATAATGGGTCAGATGTGACCCGGGTCCGCTTTTCGTCCTAGTGTCGAACCTTCAGCCGTTCGTCGATTAATAAAGAAATATACAGAGGCCAAGAAAAAGGTAAATCGAAGATTCTTGTTACGTTTAAATCAACATTTTAAGACAAGAAAATAATTTGTTAAATATATGTATTAGAGTAGTTTTGTCATCTGTATCGGCGAAACCATTTGAATTTACAGTGGAAACGCCTAATAAACGAGTATAATCTTTGCAAAAAGGAGAAAGTGTAAATCGATCGAAAAGTTTAATGGTTACCATCGATAAGTTGGATTTCGAATTCGTTGATCGTATGTTTAGATGAATATCTTGGGATGTTTTCACGTGACCAATTCAAAGATCAGAAACCAGAAGTACTGTCCACGGTGTCCCACTCAACTGAGCCAAGCTATAGGTAGAAGATAAAAAAGGTGTCATTAGGAAAAATTAAATAGTTTCGAGTGATGCATCATGTGGTGCATCTTCTCCGAAAGTGGAAGTGTTTCAAAGATTTCAACGTCACCTCTATTTTTTATACATTTAATTAATTCTCTGCAAAAATGTATTAAAGTACTTGGGTCGGAAAGTGATATATTTTAACTTCAGTTTCTCAACATTGTATCGTATTTGGACCTAGGTTTGAATATTCCTTCTCTATGTCTCCGCAATGTTGAGAAACTGAAGTTAATATATATCATTTTTCGACCCAAGTACCTTAATCTTTTGTAGAGGATTAAAAAGTGCGTCGAATATAAAAAAAATGTATAGTTCCATCTAAAAAAATAGAGGTGACCTTGAAATCTTCGAAACACCTCCACACTCGGAGAAGACACACGCACCACGTGATGCATCACTCGAAAACAATGAATTTTTCCTCGTGAAATTTTTTTCCATTTTCCACCGTTCATGTTATGGCTTGGCCCAGTTGCGTGGGACACTCTGTATACTTGATTATATCGTCAGCATGTGCGAAACGTGACTGTCTCTTGATGTCGACGAAATACGTGACAACGACACTGAGTGCACCGCTTGACTTCTTCAACATGATGAACGTTCATTCCCCGTGTTGGCCACTATACATTTGTGTCTCGTATCGATCCACACGAACAGTGTCAATAAGAAGCTATTAGATTCGTTTACACGCGTTTATGCTGGATATGTCTCGATGTAACGTGTCTAATATTAGCCTCAATCAGAGCCAATAAAGAAGAAAATAGTACGACACGAGTACGCGTTATTATTTATCGTCCTTAACGCACACGTGACGTGATTCTTCGTCAATATATAAAGGTATCTTGATCTTGAATGGAATCATATTCCAAGCAGACATCCTCCAGGCTGCGAGACTTTTGCGGGAGAACCTGAACGTCGTGCTCCCGACTCCCGTTAAACTAGTCCATCATTTTCTGCTCATATATCTTCGTCGTAGACGTTAATTAACCGTCTCGCGGGTTTTTATCGTGCAAAAGCTGTAAAGTTGTGCAACTTGTCGTTCCGTGACACATACGACTGTAGTAGATTTTAAAAAGGAAGACGAGAGAGAAATAAGTCCAGGTCTGCAGTGTGACCAAGCGGCGGAAACATTGAAAAGGTGTCGATACACTTATCCGGAGACATTTGTTAGAAATACTTCGAACGCTCGAAAGAACAAACGGATTCGAGAAAATGCGTAATCCTAGCACACGACAAATTCTCAAAGACGAAGAATGCTTCGAGATAATTCGCAAGAAACTTCACAAAGATTCTATGGAGGATTTTTCGTTAATCACATATGAAGTTATTCCTATAGACGAGGTAAATGGATTTATGGGTCAATATTTCACCTTGAAGGCTACCGTGGCTTCTTCACAATCGCCGTTGGAAACGAAGAATATCAAATTCTTTACAAAACTGCCGCCACCAATGACTAGTCCGCAGTACGATTTTATGCAACAGTATGGTAGCTTCAAAAAGGAAGTTGCTCTTTACACTACAGTTTTCCCAGAAGTGTTGGACGGTTTTGACAAAAGGTGTATTCCGGAATGTTTCCTCGGTTTAGAGGATGACGTGATTGTTTTAGAAGACATGGCTCACAACGGCTTCGAAATGACTGACAAGTTCAAACCGTTCGATTTTGAACACTGTACGATTTTAATGAAGACGTTGGCCAAATTCCACGCAAAGTCTCTAATTTTTGAGAAATTGTACCAGAAGAATTTGCACGATGAATATTCTCATTGCATGCAAGAAACACTTTGGCCTCTAAAAGATGGCCGTGCCAAGAAAATGTTCGATGCAGCTGTGAAGGGCATTGTTTCGTTGATTGACTTGATACCAAATTTGAACGAGGAACAACGAAAGACGTTTAAGTCGAAGGTTGCCGAGATGTGCGCTGATCATGCAAATAAATTGTTGCCGTCTCTGAAACACAAAAACGTACTTTGTCACGGTGACTTATGGGCTAACAATATTTTATTTAAATACGACGCGGACGAAAAACCTGTCGAGTGCTGTTTCATCGATTTTCAACTTGCCAGGTAAATAATATAATATAAATACTTACAATATCCACTGAGAAACAGAATTTTACGTTTACCCATTGTTACGGAACGGGCTGTAACGGTTCAGATCGCCTTCGTTTCGGGTTGGTTAAAGGCGAAAAATTCCAGAAATGTGTTTGATGTCGTTTTATTTAATGTTTAGTTCGAACGGGTGTCGTTCTAGGTGTATGGTTTTAGACTATCTGCCGACCTTGTGCAGGTACATCGGTTTAATACTAATTTTGGCACCTTGCTTCCGACCAGTCAATGGTCAGGAAAAGGGCCTGGAGTCGAGCGTCGCTTCATGGGTTTTTCCCGACTTCGCCCCCTTCCTACCTGTGGCGGTTGCTTGGCGTTTTGGTTTATAATTATAAAGGTGTTTGGTTATGATAATAATAATATCTAATAATAATGTTAATAATAATACAATAATAGAGTCTAATAACAATGTGTGGGGGAAAGATTTGGTAATGATAATAATAATATCTAATAATAATGTTAATAATAATACAATAATAGTATCTAATAATAATGTTAATAATAATATTATAATAGTATCTAATAACAATGTGTGGGGGAAAGGCAGTGGGTTCGTAACACCCATATTACAATTATTTCAAAACTGTTTTACTCGTTTCTTGTTTTCCTTTAATTTTAAATATAGTCTTTTGCTATTATGAATGCTACCGTGAAATAATAATTTATTCAGTTATCGAAGAACCAAATTGGACTATACGAAATTTTTACATATGTAACATTTGAAAATGTAGAACATTGGTCGAGTAGTACCTGAAAACTTTGTTTGAAACCTTACTAACGAGGGAATATGTGTCTCGAAATGAAAATCACCGGTATTAATGAAACAAAAAAATATTCGACACGTACATTTAGTCGACGTACATATCATGGAGCCAAGTTAAATTTTAATAATTCTATTTTGTGAACATTAGGATTTATTATAATATTTACAATTGGTGGGTTAACTGGAATTATATTATCAAATTCCTCAATTGATATTATTTTACATGATGCTTACTATGTAGTGGGTCATTTTCATTATGTTTTATCAATAGGTCTAGTTTTTGCAATTGTTGATCTCCTCATCTCCAAAAGATCCATTACACAGTGGATCCAATGGATACTAAATAACTACATTGATCAACATGATTTTTGCCATAAAGAACGTTTACACTGATTTTTATGTATTTGTCTTATGCTATTTTTCTAACATTATATCATCCCGATATCTTATTATTTAAGACATTTGCAAAGGTTATAAATGAATAAGCATGGTAAAAGTGTTTTTAAACCAAATCGAACTTGTAACGTGTCAATCGAAGGACCTCTGGTAGACAACCCTTTCTGCCAAGTTTCAGCCCCCTACCCCCACTACTAGGGTAGTTAGGGGAAGAGTGGGTAGCCCCGGACACTTAAATGAAATAGTATAAAAATATACTAACAAAAGGTATTTAGTTAAGCCAAACTTTCAAAAAATGAACTTTAGACCTTCTTTTTTTATTATAATTTGAGTATATCTCTTATATGACTTTAAGAAAAAAATCAGTGAATTTTGGCCGATAGTGTTAAGGATTCAAAAAATGGCGGGTAGCTCGAGACAATAATTTTTGTTATTTATTTTGTTCACTTTGCTGTTAAATATTCTTATAAATGTTGCAAATAATGTGATATCATTCATTATTATGTTATTAAGTATTATATATTTATCATTATGAGTGATGCTATTCTTCTTTCTTTATTGAATCTATGAGGAATATTAAGACGTTCTGCCAAATCAAAAGCTAGTTTTAAAAACTCTGTTCTAGTCAATGGCATTAGGCGATTGTCCAATTGTTTCACGTGATTGTAAAGTTGCCATGAAAATTCCTCATTAAAAGTTGAGTTAAAGCGACCTAATTTTGTCTTGTAGAGAACTACGTGACACGTTATATTTTTCAGTAGTTAATCTTATTGATAATTCACCGTTCAGAACATAAACAATTGCGTCTTTCATGTTATTTTCATCCCATTTACCTTTATTGCTTATTCGTCTTTAAATTTCGGCATTTTTACCCGTTTTTAAAATAAAACTATTCATATTACACAGAATCCTTGAAATATGTAAGCGGACAAACTTGTATCATAATAGGAAAATGTACGATTTTTAAATTTGCAATAGGTAAAAGTGACCGGGGGTACCCGATGAACGTGATCCAATATTTTTATTAATCATTTTTACAATACCAAACAAAAAAAAATTAAAAAAACTGAAGGATATTAAACTACATTCAATTGTCAAAACATAAAAGAATACTTACATTTAGTTCAGAATAAGGTTTGATAAAATTTGATTGGAACAGGAATACCGCTTTTAATCGTAACAAAATTAAGTGTAATATCAGTATCGCTTGCCTAATCGATCTACAACTAACTGAAAAATGTGTTTGACGCTAGGAAGGCGCATGGCAATGTGTCATTTGTTTCTTTATCTAATTGGATAATGGAAATATTCAACTGTCCGCAGTTACCCGCACTTCCCCTATACAGAGTGTCCCGTAACTCCTCGAACACCCGGAAATGGGGGGTTGCTGGGATGACTCTGAACAACTTTTTCCTTTACCAAAATGTTGTTTGAAGCTTCGTTTTTGAATTATTAACGAAAAACACTGGCCAATCAGAGCGCGCGTAGAGCTCGCGCTCAGGGACGGGCGAATAGGGATTCACCTGCGCGCTATCGTGAACGACGCGTACGCGTGACTTCTCGGTTATCGATCGCTGTCAAAAAATTTTGACTTTGCACCGCTATTTTTATAAGGCTTAGAGAAATGGTTTTTTGCCGTCATTCTCACGTTTGTATAAATTTTGGAAAAAATTCCAATTAGTCAGAATCGCGCGCGGATGAACATCTGTTCTTCGTCCCTGAGCGCGGGCTCTACGCGCGCTCTGATTGGCCGGTGTTTTTCGTTAATAATTCAAAAACGAAGCTTCAAACAACATTTTGGTAAAGGAAAAAGTTGTTCAGAGTCACCCCAGCAACCCCCCATTTCCGGGTGTTCGAGGAGTTACGAGACACCCTGTATATCGAAACGTGATTTACAGTTTAACACGTTAACTGTCTATGACAGTCTATGTGGACCGCCGGTTGACTTTTACTTTAAGCTACGCTGCTGCGCCAGTCTGAGCCCTAACTAAAGGTATTAACTATGGTATTAAATAGAAAATATATTTTATTCAAAATTAATGTAATTTATTAAAAGAATTTAAACAAAGATGCGGTTTCCTTTTGGACATGTTACAATAAGTTACTACATTTTTTGTTAAATTTTTTGCCAATTTCCTATGAAATTAATTCAGTGGGTGTATCACTTTCTAAATCTGACAACATTGTAAATTATATGGGCAATAAAATTTTGAAAATCTTTGATACGGTCTGCTTAGAGAACGAAACTGTACTGTAGACCGGCGTAGCGTAAACGGAAAGTCTCATGCCGGTCCCTAGAGATCGGTGTGGCAGTTAACGTATTAAGCTTAATTCTTTTGTTTTACCTTATAAAAAATTAAGAAAAATATCAAGGATATTGTAACTCTGGGGTGTCGATCTGGCGGCTCGCGGGTCACTTGCGGCTCCTTCTTCTCTTCGCCTGCTCCGCAGAGCCGTAGGAGGACAGCCACCCACTTCTCCTCCGGGTGCCGCACGAGTCCCACTATCAGCAGGCTAGTCACCATCACATACGCACATGTATGTAAGTCCCTTGCTTGTATACACCCCCGGGACCATAGATATTTAGTGGGACTCGTGCAACTCCTGGAGGAAAAGAAGAAATAGACTCGTGTAGCTCTCGGAGGGGAAGAAGTTCGACACCCCTGTTATAAACAACTGTTTCTGAAAAGAACGTAAAATTTATTTGAAAAACTTATCAAGTGTTGTCTGTCGTATTTACGTATTTTTTATGAATTCCTGTCATGCACTCATGTAAAAGACAAAATGTATGCTTTGGTTAAAAGAAAGTTTCGAAGAAGAGGCCCATTTAGTACGAATTTGCTAAAAATTCTTATCGTTTATTCAAAAGTGTAATTATAACAATTGATACCAATAGCCGAAGTTTGATTGTAATAGACGGATCACTTTTAACTAATTTTATGTAGAGTGTTTTGGGATCAACTGATTATGACAACATTAGCTGATTGATAATATGATTGTATAACCTATCTAACGATTGTTGCGATTGCACTTCGAGTTTAATTATATTGCTATTTTCATTCAAGTAACGGGGATTAATATTATTTTCATCATACATTATCTGTGCTAACAAGGGAAGTTCGGTACCCTGAAAATTCAAAAGAATTTGAAGCTTTGCAAAAATGTATAATAGTTGAATTGATGCTAGCAACACCATGTTTTGTTTCGGTAATGAGACGGTCTAAACACTCCCTCAAAAAAATGGCGAGTTTTCATATTATCGCGAATATTTACGAAACGGTACAAGACATGGAAGAAAAAGTTAAATTCAAAGTTGTGTAGTTTTCGATGTCCTACATCAGTGGTGTCGAACTTCTTCCCCTCCAAGAGCCACACGAGTCTGACTCTCGGTCAGCCAATTCCTCCACTTCTTTTCCTTCAGGAGTTGTACGAGTCCTACTACATATTTACAGCTTGGCAGTGTCAACTACAAACAAGGGACTTATGCACAAGTGTATATGTAGCGGTGACTAGCCTGTTAGTGGTGGGGCTCGTGCGGCACCCGGAGGAGAAGTTCATCAGCGTGAATTAGGCGGAGAGGAGAAATAGCCGGATGTGACTCGCGAGCCGCCAGTTCGACACACCTGAGTTACAATATCCCTGATACTTTTCCTAATTTTTTATAAGGCAGAGCAAAAAAAAAAATTGAGCTTAAACTGTAAATCACGTTTCGGTGTATAACTACCCTAGTAGTGGGTAGGGGGCTGAAACTTGGCAGAAAGGGTTGTCCACACGCACTCAATAAATTTTTAAATTCAATTTTCTCAAAAACTAAACCTCTTACGAAAGAATTTTATTCTACATTTTCGATTCAGTTTATCACGTAGAATCACCCTCTGCTCGCTTGTACCACCAGTTACGGGACACCCTGTGTAATGTTACAAAAATAACAATTGCAGTTCTTACGTTTAAGTCCATACATTTCGTAGCTATTTAATATTTCAATAAATTTCACAACAGCGTAAAGATTACGTTCACTCGTTTCAGAATGAAGTTTCTCAGCACGTAAATCTCTCATCGAACTATGTACTTGCGTTGCAGATACAATCCACCTGCTCACGATATTCTTTGTTTTCTTCAATTTACGACGACACGACGATTCCGCGAAGAACACAGTGAAAAGTTATTCAAAATTTACCACGAGACAATGGCGGAATTTGTGCAAGAAGCTGGCCTAGACATTGCCAACGTGTTCTCTTGGAAGGAGTTCCTCGAATCCATTGAAGACTTACGACTGATGTGTATACTACACGGCGTGTTGAACATACCGATTATGTTGCTAGAACCTAGCGCTGCGAGCAAGTACTTCGCGGACGAACCAGAGCTCTTGGAAGATGTTCTCTACGTAGATAGAACACCTTTGATTTGCGAACAAGTGAACAACGTGCCTCAATACCAAGATAGAATGATGGATGCCTTGTTAGAACTATATGACCATGTAGCTGGTTAAAGAAACCGAAGCAATCAGATTGAATTGATACAACGGATATTAGTATTTTGTTTTCACTGTAGGCACCAGAGACACAATGCACGCACCCCAATCAGTCGCTAACTTGGAAAGTATGCGACGAGTACAGCAGGCGGTAACTCCAAATACTCTCAGATAAGAAAATCTTTTGAAATTCAAAAATATTCGCCAACCATCTCGATTTCTATTCAAAGACGATAATATTGAGCAGAACCACTCTATTGCTCTGAGAGCTGATTGTAGTAGGAATTATTGATCACGATAGATTCACAGTTTTTGTTACTTTGGCGTTTGTTGAATTTACCGAATTTTTCAATGTACACGTGTACTTTATTTATAATCGTACACAAAATATTATACGAACACCGTTTCTTAGGAAAGAGCGAACAAAAATTTCCTAGTACTTACTTTTGATTAAACATCTGCAAATAGAAATATTTTATTTATCGTTAATTTGCAAATATTTAGTCGATAATGTTTGTCGTAAAAAAGTCATGTACTAGTAATGCAACTGTTACAGATAATATATTAAGCACCATAATAGGTTTTTGTACATAATTAATACGATTAGTTTCAGGTGATACGTTATCAAGCAAATTAGCACTTATTATGAATAGTTAAGTTGCACAAATCAGTCGAAGATAGTTGATTGAGGCTCTTAGATGTTAGTCATTATTACTATAAGAATAATTCACACAAGGAATTCGCTACTGTTATTGAAAAAAATGGACGTTAATGTTGTCAATAAAGTATACTAATATTAAGTTGTGATTCATTTTTACATGTACTTATCAATAACTACACATTGGTTATAATAGAGCGTTAGAGTATGTTTACTGTAAGGTGGAGTTCCTGCAATTACTACATAAACCTAAAAAATTCGAAATCGTACACACCGTTTAATTATTTCATTAACACCTAATAAATAGGCAACGAGCATGTACCAAGAATATTCACACGAAGACTAAGAAACACATCGCAATCTTTGTATTTCTTATTGACTATAAAGTATTTGCCATAATATTTACTTCTCTAACGCCACAGCGCAAGGTATAAAAAGACTCCAAAACTTACTTTTATGTATATAATTATTTATATCATCAATTATAATGAATATATTGTTATGTACAATATTGAATCTCATTCTTTAACAATAACATCAACAACATGATTAAACAACGTTCCTCATTGGTACACAAATTGTAAATGTACAGATAAAAAAGCATTAGATGAGGTCAATGAGGCATCGAAGGTGGCGTACGCTCAGCGCGCTTTAATTTTTCTCTTTATACATTTCATAATTCCCATATATATTTCGAATCATTTTCGTATTTTGTTCGATTTTTCTTCTTTTGTAGCTTTCTTTAATGTTAAGTATATATACTTCGTTTAGATACACACGTTCCACATACACACAAATGCGCCACGTGTATCCGTGCGACGCACGAAAATACGATTACGGGTGATGATATCGATTGAATCGGTGCATGATTTAATTATTAAAGAGAGTGCATGAATAATTTGTATCTTGCGAGTAGCCAGGCACGAGTGTTTCTACTTAAGAGAGAAAAAAGGTAATAGTATTTGTGAAAAAAGAAAAAGAAAAAAGAAAAGTAAACGATCGTCAACTCTCTTAGCTCGTATCGTAAGTAAAACTTCAAATTGAAAGTAACAACTACGTTGCATAATTAGCACAAAGAGAAACAAAAATAGATACACCGAAGTCTAAGTATATTCACGCTTTCACAAAGTAAAATACTACCGCCTGGCTCGTCCCACGCGACGCAAATTTCGACCAATCATCTAAAATTCTACACAAGGCTCCGACAAATTTCATTTTTTTTTTATCACTTAACGAACGATTTCCACAAAATCTAGCGCACAAACTTTTGTTTCGTATATAATTAATCGCATCAAGGCGAGGCAGGGTCACCGAGAGTCCTCCATCTTGATTATGCGATTCTAAAAGCCGCTAACTTGTCAAACAATTACATGAAAATTCACCGATACGAACAAACTTTTCTCGAAAACAAAACTGTTCCTTGTTTATTGTGTAGAATACTACATTTCGTTCGTGAAACGAAATATTTGTTCGTTCCTCGAGAAATCGAAATTTTACAAAATCTATCGTTTTAAACTATCCTCTTAATCTTCGGTCTTCGATATTTTCTTTCATGGAATTTTCATCACGCAGATGCTAACGATAAGGCAGAAAGATTTCCTTCGCAACTAAAATATCTTCTGTCATCTTTTTTTTTTTTTTATTATTACAGGATTTCTCGAAGTCCGATTAAAAAAAAAAAAAAACAAAACGTCCTTTAATACAATGAAAAAGAGAAGGAGAAAAGGAACTCAGAAAGACACCGTCCATTCGACGGAGAACAATAGTACAATAGCAAATTTCAATAATGATTGAAATTGCTCAATTAAAAAGTGACTTTCGTTTCTAATTTCATTTTCCATAACAACCTGCGACTCACTTTCAGCTTTCTTTTATCCACTTTATTCATCATATTTGCATTTTTCAGATTTTATTATACTCGTAATTTTGGTAACATAAACTTTGTTACGATAGCGATGCTTTGTGAAATAGCACTTGAAATAAAAAATAAGAATATTTAGCGACCGATTTTCTACAATCGACGTAAAAAATCATCTAATTGCATACCAATTACAAGATAAATCGATCTCTGAAACCAAAAGATATTTTCATATGAACATATACTTTAGTGGTAGCACAATTGATGATTATAAGTGAAACTACAGTAATGATTACTTCTTATTGTTTCAAATTGAAACATACCTAACAACGTGTACGACAAACTAAACATTTATCACGAGGTAATACTAGTATGTGTGAGAGTTCAAATTAGTGGATAGTGCTCGAAATACAATAAACGTCGTCCACTAAAAGAACATGAGAATATCAGTTACTAACAATAAGTGCTTGTCGACCCAATTGTTGCAATCGATAGTCGAGCTAAAATACGTAGAAGTGATTGCTTGAATTTAGCATAAAAAAAGGAAAGCTGAAAGTTTATCAATATCAATCTGTCATTTTCATCGTTGATACCATTACATTCACAATTGATAAAAACAACGCATTAGTGCTGATCTCGTATTCTGATAAAAAAAAGTAGATGGATCAACCGGTCTCTCGTAAATCTATACAAAATAAGAGAAAGAAAAAAAAAAAGAAAAATGAAAAAGAAATGGAAATCAGAAGCAACGAAATGACTCTTCTCACGACTGATGCTGCGCTTTTTTTGTTTCTTTTTAACATTCATCAGCCATTCGATTCGCACACCTTACCGGCCCTTCTCGCCTTAATCGAGCCGTACATAGAAAGTTATATACAACGATATAACATGAACTGCAGTGGCAGTGAATAGTGCATATGGATATTGCAAACAGCAGCAATGGCGGTGGCGGCGGCGACTCGTAATCGCGATACACGGCAGCGTCTACCACAGCTACTTATATTCTCTTGTCCCAGATAAGATGAATCCGCTTCGTCCCATTTGCACGTTGGGTAAGTTGAATAGTCTGATTTCATTACGATCGAGCACAAGATCGAAGTTTTCGGCGTGTATCGTATTGGTCGGAACACGCGATATCTTGATCCTGCATATTTACACTTCTCGTATTATATCCGCTCGCGCGAATCTTTTCCCCTGGTTTCCCTTTCCGATCTTCTTTCTTCACACGTATTTTCGCCGATGTAATATCATTTATGCATACGCTCGCACGCGCGAGCACATGGTGTGTGTGTGTGGTGAGAGAGAGATAGAGAGAGAGAGAGAGAGTGAATGAGCGCGTGTATGCGCGTACGTGTTTGTATTTGTGAATTCATAACGTTGTGACTGTACATGTTTCGTATGTGTATCATTATGTGTGCGTGTTTCAGTCATGTTAGTGACAGAAAAAAGGGTGGGGCGGAGCGGAGAGAGCGAGGAAGAAGTATTTGTGTATAGGTGTATCTGTGTATTTCTTTTCATGCATGCATACCTTATTTGATCCGTTTTAGATACATACATATATATACATATACATGCATACAAACATATGTATATACATGCATACGAGTATACGTATATGGATGTATATACATATATGTACGTTCGTATGTACACACTCGTGAGTTCCACAAAAATATATAAAAGAGAGTGTCTATGTATACATATATATCTGCATATATAGCTATAATGTATATATATAGTCGTATCAATATATGTATAGTTGATTAATACTCAAGTTATGTGGAAAAGGGTGTTTCATCGTACTTATTATATGTTCACACATATACAAAACACACACACACGCACGCGTGCGCGCGCACACACACGCACGTATGCACATACATCATACATACATACATATATACATACATGCACACACGTTTATGTATAGAACCTGTACAAAGTGCTTGATTGAGATTTTTATCATTAGCTGTAAAAGAAGACACTCAAGGTAAAATTTACATATAGTCCTTCATTTCTGTTTCGCAACTATTCCGTTGTAACGCGACATGTATCGTTTGCAAATCCTTCGATCTAAAACTAAATATGCAAGGTGACTGTTGCATCTACAACAGACTATAGCCTTCTCCTTAACTAACATAAAGCGAAGAATAAAAGTGTACGTAACGCAAGTTAGTTAAATCTTATTCTTCACGATGTTGTGTTTTTGAAAACATATATTATTATGGTATATAAATACATTTAGTTATGCTCCTTTCTTTAAATATTATTATCAAGCGAAATCGTTCAGATCGATCAATTCTCACTGTTTTGTATGCAAACGAACTACAATAAAGCAATCGTTAGATCAACGCTTAGCAAGTTCATCGAAACAAATAACTCAATTCATGTATATATATGTACACATATAGATTATCGCGTCAGTCGTTTCATTATCCTGGTACAAATTCATGCGGCAAAGTATGACACTAACTGAATATTACGCAAATATTGAGCAGATAAGCACAGTTAGAAAAAATTTAGAGAATCATACTTGAAGATATAATAGTTAACTGTAGGTATTCCTTTAAATGTTTCTCGCCAGTGGACTTGTAACGTACCAAATATATTACGTAAATTATTCGATTAGGCTATTATAACAAGTTGATCCGTAGACGAATAAGGGACAGGGCCCAGTCAGAAAAATGCGTACGAAGAAAGTACATAATTGTAGGAAAAGTAAAATAATAGACTGCATTTTGCTAAATCAATTTTTCTACCATCGTATTCTTACGTATTGCTAAGCAACAGCTGTGGTCTGTTCTAGTTGCAGGGATCACCCTGTACATACGCATATACGCATACATGTATACATATTTTCGTTTTGCAGCCAAGGCAACATACAAAACCACGACACAGGAGATGAACATACGACTGCCTTATGAAGTGAACGATGCTTTTACGTGAAAGAACCAAAAAGGTTCCGTTAGTACAATTTATCTCAATCAATTTTCATATCTTTTCTGTTTCTTCCTCTTTCCTCCTCGTTCCGCTTTTGTTTATAGTTTACCGTAGAATGATAACATATATACCTGTTCTGTATTTATTTACATATCCTGAATGAACTACAGCGATGGTATACATTAAGTCGCAAAGGCGATAACAATTCCTCAGCGATCAGCCTTGAAGATGTTCTCAAGCGTTTACAGTTAAGCTGCTTGCTTCGCATTGTTTGAAGTGTACTTTTTCTCTTCTTCTCTGCACTCTGCATTCTGCTGAAAGGATGGGGCGTGAGATTTAGTCACACACAGTTTTACATTTCAGAGTAAGCCGTTCAATCCTTATACCGTCTTCCGTCGAAGACGTTTCATTTTATATCTTACGAAGATTCAGAGCTTGACGTGTAGCTACCCTCGGACCGTGCTTCATCATACCACATCCCGGTCTCCCTTTGCCGTTTCTCCTGTTTCTCATTTCCCATAGTGGATCTCCGGTGTTCTCTTCCGTATACGCTTATCACGATGTTTCTCTTCTCAGACTTGTTACTACACAAACACGCCTCAACGCAGAAATGTTCAGTCACGATGTCAAACTGAATCACGCAACTTTTAAATAGCAAGGAACGAAGAAATTTGTGGACACTATAAAAGGAAACCGAAGTAACTATCAGTATCGACGAAACATCGTTGGGAACGCTTGGCCAGCAGAAAAAAACGGACGCATTGATGATTCGTTCTATGGACGGGGCTTGCCATGATTCGTTGAGGGTATGAGACATCGTACCAAAATGCCAGCCAACAGACTAGTCGGTTCCGTAGGGACAACGGGCGGCATGATGGCTTCTTTTGCATGATTAGATGTAGGAATAAGGTCCGTCGGTGAGGGCGCTACACAGCAACAGTCAGGAGGCGTCATCCTTTCCCCGAGCTCCCCTGCTCGGCTTGTATTCCAGACCTGGATCGAATTGCATCAGCACGAAAACCTGTAAATTGTCAGACAAAATGACAATGTTATTCATATATATCTGTTAAAAGTAAGAAATATTCAAACGTTGAAATATATCGCCCACTTTTTTATTATTTCATAAAATTGCATTTTACCGAGAAAATTTCATTTCTCTATCAATAACGTAATATAGTATAATGTATGTGGGATCGGAGCCTCCATACCCATCAACAGGAACAATAACAAAGAAGAAATAAGGAGCCATCCTTAGGTAAAATGTCCTATCTACCAATTTCTCATTTTCCACAGTGTTTTGAAATATTTAAAGTTCCATGTGTTTTTCACCTTTCAAGCAAAGTTAGAATGTTTTATGTATTAGATGATTGCAAAAGTTCGTGCCCGATTTTCAGAGGTGGCGAGAACCTTATCGACTTCGGGCACAGATGTTTCTTTTAGCGTGATGTTACATTCCTATCGAAAGATACACCGCTTGTGCTTTATCTTCAGATAATTATTCATTTCATTCCATTTCAGTTTCAAATGAAATCTGCTTTTGTACACACCGATTGTGGTTTATTTTCAAATCGGGCACGAACTTTTGCAATCATCCAATACTTTGTAAAATTCTAGAAATAGCGTCATTTATTTGTCCTGATTGTTTTACAGATGGTTTTAAATTATAAACCCTCATTTTTCTCACATATTGAAAAATGTTAGTTAGGACAATCAAGCTAAGGACTAAGTCATTTTTCCTGGGCACCTACATGTATTCTTAGTAAAATGTAAACGAAATAAATCTTTTCAATTATGCTTCAATATACACTACCGGCCAAAAGTTTGGAATCACCTGCCAATTTACATCAATATTGAATCCGCTATTAATTCCTTATTGATTTGAAATTGATGTTGTGGAGATCAATAGCACTTCACCTCATTTCAATTGATTTGAACGACAACAAATTCGTTAAAAAATTATTATAAATGCAAACTTTTTTTTTAAGAATTTTGGTGCAACTTGCAATGCACAGTTGCAAAAATTAGAGATATTAGTAATATTTGAATACCTGATCTGTAGGCAATAATGTGAAATCATCCGGAGGGTTTGTAATGACATATCGCTTAGACGAAGCATCGCACGATGAGCTGGTATCTCGAAACCTAAAATTACATTCAATATTAGCTACATGAAAAACTCAATGACCACAATTTACAATCTAAACTAAATGCACCATGTACGATTAAATTAAACTAAATAATCGAACTAAACTAAAACTAAAACTAAACTAACAGCTGGCAACAATAACTAAATACTAAACAAACAAGTGACACAAAGACAATCGTAAAAAATGATGGGTATTTGTTGGATGAAGGCAACTTACGATCGTCGTTTCTTTTTCATGACGCAAAAACACAAAATGCAAAAGTATGCGGCAAAAAATCAAAATTCACATAGTAAGTACGAGAATGATATAGTAAGAGATAATCAATGGCAGTGTAATTGCAGCAGCGAGATAAGACATTTTCAGAGACAAAATATACGTAGAATATTTGTGTAGAGTAATCCAATAAATACCATCGAGAGAAGGAAAAAAGTCCGGTACCTGTACCTGTATAGACCAATACACAGCATTCCATACGACTTTAATGCTGCGACAAAGAGGTCACCGTACTTGCCTCCTTCGCCATACTGGGCTAATGGCCCATCGTATAACGCGATTTGACCAACACGACATCGATCTCTATTGGCTAGACTATCGGGTGTACTGAAAGGAACAAATAAAGAAATCGTACATTAAGGAATATGATGATTCTCTTTTATTGGCATATAACGAATGTCGCTACACGATTCTACATTTCGGTAAATTTCAAGTAATTTACCTGTAACCGCCTCTTAAACCTGCTCCTTCAGCGAGAATTAATTCTAACTCGGGTGTTGCTCCACCAGTGATGAGAGATCGGATTAAAGTCAGCGCGTTCTGGTTGAAATACGTCTGTCGTACAAAAATCAAATATAAAGTTAATACAAAAACCACCTTAAGATTACATCAATCATTAGTACCATGATTAGATATGTTTATCTTTATTAACCCTTAGAGCACAGAGAAGTACGGAGCTGAGCACTCTCCGTGATCCGTAGTCATTAACCCTCGTACGACGAATGCAGGGTCATTTTGACTCAACAGCGATAAACTCAGGCGGCTCAGATTACGTTTGGTACAGGAAATACACCTACTTTACGTATCAAATGTGAATAAACAAGAAAAATAAAGTCAAAATGACTCTGCATTCGTCTTCTGCGTCCGTCGAAAACCATTCGCCTTCGTTTGTTAAGCAATAACAAACATTCTCTAACAAAAAGGAGAAATATACCGAACATATTGTTAGAAAACTAAAACAGTAGTTAGGCAAATATATTGCTAGTTAATAAACTAAACCACACAAAATTGTAAAGTATTGAGTCGTTTGTTGATTGGATACAGGGTGTTTCGTAATGAAATCGATAAATTTTGTCAACATATTCGCGAGTTCATTCTAAGCCAGGGGTGTCGAACTAGCGGCTCTTTCTCCTCTTCGCAGAGCCGTAGCCGGAGCCGTTCTTGCTCACGAGCAAATTTCCCCTCCGAGGTTCCCCCACTATGCGACTGAGATGGTCACGCTCGAGTTGCGTTGAGGTGGGAGGAGCACGCGAGGAGTCCTCCCACCACAACTCCAGCGACTGCCGTTGGTTTATGTTACACATTCTGCGTGTTCGTACCGCATAGTGGGGGAACCTCGGGAGGGGAAATTTGCTCGTGAGCAACAAGTTAAGCGCCTCTGATGTAGGAGGCTGTATCCTCGCCTCACGCATATTGATAGTGGGGGAACCGGAACACTGGTAGCAACAGCGGGGAAGAAGTTGCCCGAGTCTGTTCTATGGCAGAGTTGCTTAACTTCTTGTTCACGAGCAAATTTCCCCTCCCAAGGTTCCCCCACTATGCGACTGAGATGGTCTCGCTCGAGTTGCGTCGAGGTGGGAGGAGCACGCGAGGAGTCCTCCCACCACAACTCCAGCGACTGCCGTTGGTTTATGTTACACATTCTGCGTGTTCGTACCGCATAGTGGGGGAACCTCGGGAGGGGAAGTTTGCTCGTGAGCAAGAAGTTAAGCGGCTCTGCCGTAGGAGAACGGTTCCCCTCGATACCTAATTCACTTTCATGAATTTCTCCTCAACGTGCTGCACGAGCCCCACCATCAGCAGGCTGACATATACACATACAAATTCGTATATAAGTCCCTTGTTTGTAGCTGACTCTACCAAGGCGACAAATACATTATGTATGGGACTCGTGTAACTCCTGGAGTAAAAGAAGTTGGGACATCAGCTATGAGCTGACCGAAAGCCAGACTTGTGCGACTCTCGGAGGGGAAGAAGCTCGACACCCCTGTTCTAAGCAAATAAATTTTTGTTAAGCAGATATGTACCCTAAAGGTTAAACTGTTATTGATTTTAATCAATCTTTTTGTAGTTAAAGTTGTATAAAACACAAGATGGTATTATTAGGGACTGCTTATTTAACATCAAAGTTAAAATTATGCTGTTTTACTGACCGTCGACATTAATGAATCTAATACACTGACGGCAAAGGCAGTACCGCAAGCAAACGGTTGAGTTAGATACAGTTCTGTGTCCGGATCATCGTCGTCGTCTTGGTCAAGGAACTGCACGTTGCTATCGTTTACGAGTTCTGTAACATCGAATAATATTCGACGTTTCAATATTTTCAGTAAAGAAATATAGTAAGTGCATTGTTTATAGTATTGGGGTACCTGTTATCATTGGCACGTTTGCTCCGTACACGGATCCTCGTCGCTGCTCACCATCAGCAGGCTGACATATACACATACAAATTCGTATATAAGTCCCTTGTTTGTAGCTGACTCTACCAAGGCCACAAATACATTATGTATGGGACTCGTGTAACTCCTGGAGGAAAAGAAGTTGGGACATCAGCTATGAGCTGACCGAGAGCCAGACTTGTGCGACTCTCGGAGGGGAAGAAGCTCGACACCCCTGTTCTAAGCAAATAAATTTTTGTGAAGCAGATATGTACCCTAAAGGTTAAACTGTTATTGATTTTAATCAATCTTTTTGTAGTTAAAGTTGTATAAAACACAAGATGGTATTATTAGGGACTGCTTATTTAACATCAAAGTTAAAATTATGCTGTTTTACTGACCGTCGACATTAATGAATCTAATACACTGACGGCAAAGGCAGTACCGCAAGCAAACGGTTGAGTTAGATACAGTTCTGTGTCCGGATCATCGTCGTCGTCTTGGTCAAGGAACTGCACGTTGCTATCGTTTACGAGTTCTGTAACATCGAATAATATTCGACGTTTCAATATTTTCAGTAAAGAAATATAGTAAGTGCATTGTTTATAGTATTGGGGTACCTGTTATCATTGGCACGTTTGCTCCGTACACGGATCCTCGTCGCTGCAAAACGATTGGGCTGCCAACTGCGGTCAAATTACCTTGCTCATTATTTGCTGGAATTGTCACTTAATGTTTAATTATGTGTATCCGATCAAATATTTAGCGGAGTTAAACTTGGAAGTTACTTCAGGTCCAAGGTGAAATTACAGTAGTACAAACCTTGGCTGAGCACTCCAATGGTGTCGTCAAATGTCATAGCCTTGATATTAAGGGACGCGAGGATGGCTTCCTTGTCGGCGAGGGTAGGGTCATCGTTGCTAGGCACTTTAGCCGACAGGATACAACACATGTCGCACAAATTTACGTTAACGGCACGTAAATCTGCTCTGCTTAATGGTGAACCCTAGAAAAGCGATGTGCAATTTAACCTATGCTTCCGACTGTTATTTCATCTTTATATCACTCTTTATTATTGAAACTTCCATTTATTCAAAAGCAATAAATTCTATATGTAACTAAAAATTTGGTTTTTGATTGTCTCTATATTTGTCGTTGAAAAAGCTGAAAAAATGAAAAGCCGTTACATAGAGTCGTCCACCTAACGTGACCACCTTAATTATTTTCATTATTAGTAGACCGTTCCAAATTTTTTGGCCATAGAGAATACGGTTTCAAAGGATCTCCAAGGTAGTGACCCTAGATTTTTTTATATCCTTTTTTTAAAATAAGTCTTCAAGGTCACGTGTAATGTTTCTATGTATAAATTTTATATTATAAAGAAATATATTATATTCTGGTCGTTGAATTCGTCCCAATGCCTATTAGTTAATAGGCAAAAAGAAAAACTATAGGGTTATACATAAAAAAGTGGAACGTGACCTTGAAAACTTATTCTATAAAGAAACAGAAAAAGATTTAAGACCATCACTTTGAAGATCCTTTAAACCCGTATCTTCTATGAAAAAAAAAATTTTGATCGGTCCACTAATAACGAAAATAATTGAGGTGATCACGTTAGGCGGACCACCCTGTATATGCGGAGGTCCACAAGTTTCGTATCATGTAAACACTTTTGTTTTGGCGTATAAAAATTAAATTTTGATACGCGTGTGCAGTACTATTGTGCGTACTATCTAAACCTCCAATGATAAATTAACGACGGTGGAGTATATTTGGAGTGAGGTACAAAACGTTATCACTCTTCTTGCTCAATTGACAAGCGTTTAATAAATAGCAGTTTACAACTGTTTGGCGTTTCTTTAGGTACACCTTTATCTGACAACATGTTTGCAACTCTGCAAGTTTAGTGAAAAACTGTCCTTTTGTAAAGTACGTGTGGGTGGAACTATCGTTTGGAAATGGTCACACGGACCTTGCGCAACGTGGGGAGCCAGTGACATTTTCCAAACATATTCCAGAAAGTTAGGGCTTGAGTTTCCAAACACTTTTATCCATTGTAAAATTGCATACCAGGGTAGAAACTTTCGTTTTTGCATTATAATTGTGATTATTGTTGCTCCGTTCTGCGTCAAACTAATCACGCAAACCTATTTCGAGAAGGGTGATTCTTTTTAAAGTATCTCGAGAAGGTTTACTTTCTTAAATATAATTAAACTGATCAATTTTAACAGTAAATATAACAAGGAAATTGTGAATGGTTGTTGTGTGTGACGTATCTGTACTAACTGAAAAATTGTGGTGGTGGTTGCGTATATATTTGGTGTGTCGCAGAGGGTGTGGTTGTAGGTGTGTTTTAAGTATAGATAATGATTGGTGGAGGTTGACAAAATTTGACTTTAGGGATTGTGGGTGTGGAAGAAGTGAGCTGATGGTAGGGGTGACGTTGTAGACGGTCTAGACAATAAAGTCATAAAAGTCGGTAGATCTGGTAATTCATGCTGACTAAAATACCGAAAGTGGAAATGAATGGAAACCTTTTCCTTACGCGGTGCTACGACATCGGTTCGCCAAATGTCTTTATTGTTGCTACGTGGCTTATTGCAGGGTGTCCAGGATTTGGGAAGCGTAGGATTTAGCAGATGGTTACAAATGTTAAAACGAGTTTATGGTTCGGTACCGAACAATTGTCACTGCATCCGGTCTGACAGTTCTCGCGGTTTTAAGCCGTTCATTTTGAAGAAACGTAAGTTCGTTAAAATTAAACATTTTTATCTAAAATAAATGTCATATGGTTCGATAATTTTGCCAATGTATCATATTATAAAAGCATTAAAAATTCGCCCTACGCCACACTTGAAGATTCTCTCGCTGTTCACATGTCGGCATGAATCCTGGATGTGTCCCACATGCTCCTTGTTCTTATGCTCCACTTTTTCTGTTGTCTTATGTTTTTCTGTTTGCTTCTCGTGCTTAACTGGCGTATTCTAGATGCACCACTGGCTTACCGTTGTAGGTTTTTTGAAAGTTTTCGTGCATAATGCGCTTGACGTGTGGGAATACTCCATAATAATTTCATGACAACTGATGTCTTTAATTCCTATCAGAGTATAAGGTCTTACTCTAGGCGACTCTTCATAACCCTTAGGCGAAGAAAAATAGGCTTTGCCCGTTAAAAAGAAAAAACTAAAAAAGTCAGTCGTGATTTTTCTAGTTTACCAGCAACGATTCAGACAGACGTTCCTTGGCGATCTTACCTGCATCACTCCACATTTGTAAAACTCACTTTCTACAGAGAAAGATAATTTGGTAATTTTAAATGGTAAAAAGAGATAATTTTACATTGGTGGTACTTCGTCGAGAAGAATGAACAAAATGACGACAAACGTCGACTGGATTCACAATACTTGCAGGCAGCGGTGTGCAGCAAGTAAATTTAATTTCTTTTTACACCGTGGGTACAGATCTATGAGCGATAGTATATTATTTTCCTGGACATTATTCACTATTCCGTGCGTTACGATAAGCAATAAAAATACAAATTCCAGAAGCGCTCCAGCGGGAT